AGTAAAAATAATAAAAAATAAAAAACAAGCTTAAAAATATAAGTTCAAGGTACACGAGTCTGTATCCTAATAAGAACTAAAGACTAAAAGCTTGTTTGGGTTGGGGGTAACTATGGGTAGGAAAAATTATGAGATAATTTATCCTTATTTGAGAATGAACTTATGCTAGGTAATGGATGAGAATGTAAGATAAAGGAGGGGAGAAAAACTAAGATTTTAGGGTCATTTTGGGCTGACGCGGCTGGCGAAATCGGTAATAACCTGTTAGCTCTTAGGGTCATTTTGGGAATTTCAAGGTTTTTTTTCTCATGCTTAGTTGGCAGAGGAAAAGGGTATGAATCACAAATTTTAGTTGTATTTTGGGTTTATGCACAAGACTAAAGTACAGGGGGTTGGGACACATCAACATCTTATACTTGGGGCATTGACCCAATTTTAAAAAAAAAAAAAAACAAAAGAAAGAAGACATCACAACATTTTGAAATCTGCAAGCTAGAGGTTTCAGTCAGAATTGGTGTCTCTGGATCAAACACATCCTTTCATCCTCCAAATCAGCTGTTCTGGTTAATGGTTCTCCTACCAAGTTCTTCTCCTGTCATAGGGGTTTGAAACAAGGGGATCCCCTTTCCCCCATGCTTTTTCTCTTGGTTGTTGATGTTCTAAATAAAATGATAAGGTCTAGTGTTGTTTCGGGGGATCTTTCTGATCTCCAGCTGAAAGGAGAACTTAACAACATTAGGTCGCTTCAGTTTGCTGATGACACAATTATCTTTTCCAGAGCATCCTCTTCAAATATGTCCACCCTTAAAGCAATTCTTCTCATCTTTGCACATATCTCAGGCTTGCTGGTTAATTACAACAAAACACATCTTTTCTACCTTGGTAGATCCCACAGAAAGGCTCCCCGGTTAGCTAGTCTTTTCAATTGTTCTCTGGGATCTTTACCATCCTCCTATTTGGGTCTTCCCCTTAAAAAAGGAGTTTTATCTAAAAAAGACTGGCAGCCTCTCCTTGATTCTCTCTCCAAGAAACTGTCCCTCTGGAAAAATAAATATTTATCTATAGGGGGACGCCTCACTTTGGTAAACTCAGTCCTCTCCTCTATCCCTCTTTATTATATCTCTTTTTTCAAATTCCCTCAGTGGCTGATTCAAGAAATAGACAAAATCAGACGAAGTTTTCTTTGGAATGGGAGTAACAACCACTCTAATATCAAGTGTCTGGCTTCATGGAAACTAGTATGCAGACCGAAACAGGAAGGGGGCTTGGGTATAATCAATCTCCAAGTCTTCAACATCTCCCTCTTATCTAAGTGGATTTGGAAAATCTTTGACAGGGACTCGTTCATTAGTAAAGTGATCTTCTCCTTATATTCTAAGGATGGATCCAATCCTGTAGTGTCCATATCAAGATTTAAATCATCTAACTTGATTAAGGACATAAGTTCTGTGTACCCAGTCTTTCAATTCTTTGTGAGATGGACCGTTGGTAATGGAAAGACATGTAGTTTCTGGTATGACAAATGGATTAGTTCAAACTCCTTAAGCAGTCTCTTCCCAAAGGCGTTTTCCCTTGCTTTTTCAAAAGGTTGCAACATCTCATCTCAGGGTTATCTTCAAAACCAAGTTTGGCAGTGGCATCCCATCCTCAGAAGAGGTATTACCACGGAGGATCAGAGAGAGGTCATTGACCTGCATTCCAGTATTGGTTCCTTTGATTGTAGTACCTCTACAACCCCGGACTCCTTATGGTGGCCGCTCAATGCAACAAGAAAATTTTCTGTAAAATCTCTTTATTCATCCATTATATCAGGTGGGTGTTTATCTAGATTCTATAAGTTTGTTTGGAAATCCCCTATCCCTCTGAAGGTGAAAGTCTTCTTTTGGCTAGTGAGTAACAACAAGCTTAATTCAAGGGCAAACCTAGTCTCTAAGGGATGGAAAGGTGATCCAAGGTGCCCTTTCTGCAACCTTGAAGTGGAGAGCCAGGATCATTTATTCATTACTTGTCCTTTTGCTTCTTCAATATGGATTTTACTCTTTCCTAGTATTGATTTAGCCACTTTGCCGCATAACATGCATGATTTGATACTCTTTAAAGCACCAGCAGCTGACAGTATTCATATAAGTTGTATTTGGAAGGTGGTTCTCCCATGTTTATGTTGGTGGATCTGGAATAGTCGAAATTACTTCATCTTTAAAGATTCTCAGCAAAATCCAGAACTTGTAGCTGCTAACGTGGCTAGGTATACCCTTCATTGGACATGTGCACATGAAGATAAGCTGGCAAAAAGGATCAGAAGGGCAACAATCAAGCTGAAATTTGACGAAATTGCAAAGAAAAAAGCTGCAGCAGAGGTGGGAGATAATTTCTCTGCAGATTAGAAGCTCAGGCAAGTCTTTCGAAGTGGTTAGATCCTTTCTAAGTAGCTCTCTTCTAGAGGAGCAGTGATTAGGATCAAAACAATATAAAGTTTTTTAAGTCTAACTGGTGTAGTGAATCTTTTGTTGTTCTTTAGTTTTTGATGGTGTTATCTTCTGTTTCTGGCCTTCTTCTTGTTCTACTGTATACTGGCCTCCTTTTAGGTGTGCTAAGTATAGTTGCTTATATGTATGATCTTTGATATAAATAAAATTTTATGAGCAGGAAGTCTATTCCTGCTTCTTCAGTTCAAAAAAAAAAAAAACATCTTGAAGAACAGAAGATCATACATAATTCTACTTCATTCATCAAGTTTCATTGTTTTAGCAAGATTTCCAAGTTGTGTCATAAATACACAACTTTTTTACCAACAACAGCCAAACAACCCCCTATTGGAAGATGCTACTTTTCAAGAAAGATTAACCTTATAACCAGTCAACATCTTGAAGAACAGAAGATCATACATAATTCTACTTCATTCATCAAGTTTCATTGTTTTAGCAAGATACAGTATACTGATCCCTGCTAAAACTGGACCTTAGGTTTTTAATATCATGAGCAATGGCATAAGACAAACTAAAGGAATGCTGGAAATTATCATTAAGGTGATTTTTTTCACCTGTTAGAAACCACCTTAAAAATAATGTAATTATACAAAAGTCACTTTTTATTTTCAATTTATATGTAAAGCACTTTAAACTTAGCTTTTGTTGCAATCAATCACCTACCCGTTAAGTTTTTAGTAAAAATAATAAAAAAACTTCATTCATCAAGTTTCATTGTTTTAGCAAGATACAGTATACTGATCCCTGCTAAAACTGGACCTTAGATTTTTAATATCATGAGCAATGGCATAAGACAAACTAAAGGAATGTTGGAAATTATCATTAAGGTGATTTTTTTCACCTGCTAGAAACCACCTTAAAAATAATGTAATTATACAAAAGTCACTTTTTATTTTCAATTTATATGTAAATCACTTTAAACTTAGCTTTTGTTGCAATCAATCACCTACCCGTTAAGTTTTTAGTAAAAATAATAAAAAATAAAAAACAAGCTTAAAAATATAAGTTCAAGGTACACGAGTCTGTATCCTAATAAGAACTAAAGACTAAAAGCTTGTTTGGGTTAGGGGTAACTATGGGTAGGAAAAATTATGAGATAATTTATCCTTATTTGAGAATGAACTTATGCTAGGTAATGGATGAGAATGTAAGATAAAGGAGGGGAGAAAAACTAAGATTTTAGGGTCATTTTGGGCTGACGCGGCTGGCGAAATCGGTAATAACCTGTTAGCTCTTAGGGTCATTTTGGGAATTTCAAGGTTTTTTTTCTCATGCTTAGTTGGCAGAGGAAAAGGGTATGAATCACAAATTTTAGTTGTATTTTGGGTTTATGCACAAAGATTTTGCCCCCCCCCCCACCCCCATCTAAAAAAAAACCAGTTTGAGGTGTAATGAGGGTGAATGGAACTTCTAAAATAAAAATAATTATGGAGAGATCATTGTACCATCTATCTAATTTCTAACAATAAAATGACTTAATAATATGTAAAGTTATTGTCATAATTATATATATATTCCCTTCTAGGGTTGGCAAATCGTATCCGTATTCAAAAAAATATCCGTAACCATATCCGTTAGGATACGGATACGGTTACTCATATCTATAACCGATAGGATATGATTACAGATATGGTTTTGTAGTGAAATATTCGGAATCGTATCCGAAATATCCGAATACATATTAGTCATATTGTTATAATGGTTTTAGTCTTTTAGATTATGGATATGATGTTAATTTTGACAATCAAGATATCTAATCTTAGCTTTTTAGATATAATGAACATATTAATGAACTCTTTTGTATCACATGAACTATATATTTTTTACAATATCTAGGTTTTTCATATCCGTTTTATATCCACATCATATCCGCTTATAAATCCGCATGTATATGCGCACGTATATCTGTATATGTATCCGATTTTAGTGGATACAAACATGAATTTTCCTTGCCGAAGTATATCCGTATCCGTATCCAAAATGAGTAAGCGGAGATATATATGATAAGCATCATATCCGAACTGAATCCACCCCTATTCCCTTTCCTTCGCTTCACTTTATTAAACTTTTCCAAATAGGGTGAAATAAGTTACCAATTTTACATATATTCCCTTCCCTTCCTTACAATTTATTAAACTTTCCAAACGGGATGAAATGAGTTTCACCTTATTAATTTCCCAAATAAGTTTTACATGTTCTCTTACGGTCCCTCGACTTCTCATGTGTTCCTTAACTTCCCTTCACTCAGTCCAAATCCAAACAAGCCTTAAAAGAAAACCAATTTTAAAAGTGCTTTATGTATAAATTGACAATAAAAGATAAATTTTATATGTTTAGGATGTATTTAAGGTGGTTTCCTTGGGTGGGGGGTTAAAAGAAAGACCAATTGCGCACTTTTAATTCCTCAATTGAACCAATACCGTGTAGAAACCATGGCCAACCAATCTACATGAGAACAAGAAGGCTTGAAGATACAGTACACCGTCACTTGATCCCCTTTTTTCTTTGGCCAAATAGAAAGAAGTACTAGATATTATCATTATTAACTATTAAGCACAGGACAAAGACCAAATACACTTTTATCTCCCATTATAAGCACTGAGCAGTAACCCATACATGTGTATATATCAAATATTTTAGAAACATTAGCCAAACTAACCATAATCAAATCACTTAAACTAAGCACAATTCATGGTCATTTTCCAGTCATTTTGGCCCAGGTGAGAAAAGCTCCGAGCTCGGTCACGGCCCCCATCAATACCCATACATGTCAACAGATGCCATCATCATGGGTTGGTTAGCCATCCCCATCATCATGCTCCATGGCCTCATCCCGTCGTCATAGAAGAACCCATCACCATCGTTGCCCCCTCCTTCGTTCACGCAGCTCAAAATCTCATTCAGAGCCTGAAGCCTGTTACTGAGCTCCATCATCTGAGTCCTGAGCACAGAGTTCTCGGCCTCCACGCCCAAATAATGCTGCGTCGTGACGCTCAGCGCCGCCGCAACCTCTCCATTCTCCTTCCTCAGCTGGCTCAGCTGCGCGTTCAAATCATCGAGATGCTTCTGCTTCCTCTGCCTCGATCTCCTCGCTGACTCTCGATTCGATAGCATCCTCTTCCTCTTCCTCTGCTCCATTACCTCATCAATGCTAGTTGAAGTCCCACTCCCGCTGGAGGAGTTCGAAGCCATAATTATACTTTGAGTTTTGATTTAAGCGGTCGAAAATATTATATGTAGAAAATTAATAATAGTAAATAATAGGTAGAGAAGGACTAGTAGTAGTACTGGGATTAGGGTTTAGTTCATGAGAGATCGTAGAACCAGTAGAGGAAGACAACGGAGAAGGATTGGATCTTGATCATAAGCAGCTCACTTTGGTTAGGATGAGACATCAATTAAGAAAACCAACAGGAACTGATGCTGCATGTGAGATTTGTTGTATGAACAAGATTGGGTTTTGATGGCAGAGGTGGAGGGAGGGTTGGATTCTGGAGATGGGTTCTTGGTTTCAGATCTAAAGGAGCTGGATTGAGATAGATTTTGCCAAAGTTTTAGAGGAGCAGAGCAAGGTTTTGACAGAAAAAAGGCCGGACTTTTGTGAAAAAGATTGGAGCTTTGAGATGGAAATCTCTTGAAAGAACAGGGAGGAGCAGAGCTTGGGCACCTTAAAAAGCTAATGGGGAGGAGAAGAAAGAAGGAGAAGAGGCTTTGAGATTGTAAGGGGATGGAATTTATAGGGAAAAACTGCGAAAAAGAGGGATTATTATTATTATTATTTTTTAAAAGTGAGAGTTTCGGAATCTCCGGTTGAAGAGAGTTTGTTGGGGGAGGCGATGCAAGTGAAATGGGAACAAAATGTGGACCCCATGTATGGGCCCACGGGGCAGGGAGTCGTAATGGGACCCAAGTAAGAAGATAACCCAATCTCACTCCCTACCGAAATTTTAGATTTTGGTTCTTAAATCCATTTTTAATAGAGATTTAAGACATATAAATTCATGTCCAATTCAGTTATCTCTGGAGTCGAGAACATCTATTCATGTCTAGTGACTAAATTATTTTGAGAAGTAATATTCTTAATGATTAGCTTCACTTAGCTATAGTTAAATTATTTTTCTGTTTAAGATGATTAATATAAATCATTCTGATATTTCAACATGATGAATGGCGGTAAAAGAATGTAGTGGTTACTATTTGGGTGCAGATTTTGGTGGGTGTAGAAATTAGGTGGGATTTTGTCAGAAGAGTCCAAGGACAGCTGGTGAGCAGACATCATCAGCCCCTGAGACTTCTTCATTTTTTCCAATTGCCTTTCTCGTTTACATTTTAGGGAAAATTGTCTCTAGCCCCCCAAAACGAGTCAGAGTGTTTCGCCCTTCTAAGGACTTTGTCAACGGTCCCTTCGTCCCAAAAAACACTCTCAATTTTCCTCTAGCCCCCCAAATCCCCCACGTGAAACGCTGTTTAAAATCAACAAGATCTTCCCAAAATGCCCTTTGATTTAACCGCCTCTCGTTTATCTAAACCCTTCCTCGTCGTTCGTGCCATTTCATCTGCCTTTTGTCCAAACGAACCAACTCTAGAGCATTTTTCCCATTTCAAAACCTTAGCCCTAAATCATCCAACTCCAGAGATTAATCGGGAAAAATGGTCGGCGAGACAACTCCCAAAGTAGTCCTTCCCATCGAATGCAACAAAGACGACGACGCGTCACAGTACGTCGTCTCAAAAAGACCCCAGACAACAACGGAGTGGTCTGAAGCTGGCGCTTCAATTGTTGATGTTCTAGAGGATATCACAGCCAACCACTCTCGTCTCAAAAGTCCAGGTCAACCCAAAAAGTCAGCTCCCAACCCAGATCTAGAGGGTAACATCGGCACCGCCGATGGCACCGACGATGCCGCTAGAGCGCTCCTAGACCTACAGAGAGGAGATAAAGAGAAGCATATGGTAGCAAAAAAAAATTACCATAATTTTATGTTGTTTATCATGTTGCATGATGTGTTAATTGTGAAGGATACTTAGAAGTTGTGAATGTTAGCTTGTAGTTGTCAAGGAAATTGATTCATTGTTAGGGTTATGCATTAGTTGTTAAAGTTATTGATATGTTGTGAAGATTACTGTTTAGTTGTGACATGTGGTCTGTTAGTTGTTAAGGTTAAGGGTTACTTGATAAGGTTTTGAGTCTGTTGTGAATGCTACTGTTTACGGGTGTCTGTTAGTCGTGGAGGTTACTGTTTACTTGTGACTATTCGTTGTGAATGTTATTGTTAACTTGTAAGGGTTATGTTTTTATTGTTAAAAGTTATTGATTGGTTGTAGAGGATAGACTTTGGTTGTTAAGCTTATAGATTTGTTGTTAAGTTTATAGTTTCTTTGTCAAGTTTACATCATAGTTGTTATGTTTACTGATTATTTTGAAACCACTTATATCTTGTTGTTTTGCTTTGTAGACAAAGAGCAAAGACCACTTTTGAATTGCAACCCACATCCATCTTCACTGCCTACTATGAGTTCATGCATACTTTGGTGCAACATATGGGGCAAAGGCACTGAGAGGCCTACGAAGATAGTGTATTTAGACACTACGTTCATTTTGGCCTTTCTGGTCTTGATCTTCCCACTTTTGAGCACGTTTTGAGATAGTGGGACGAAAAAAAGATGAAATTCATCTTTGCTGATACAAAATCTGGAGAAGAAATCGCGTGCTCATTCAACCTTGAGTGGGTAATGAGCCATACGTGGTTCTCCAATGAGAGGGATTTCGTTGGCCCCAACCGAGATAGGAAGAACATGATTTGGTCCAGGTTTTTTTACCAAACCTAAGGGTGACAGCAATACAACTCCTTCTCCAGCCCCCACCAGACGCAATATTAAGGATTTGCTCATAAAGCTGGTACAATCAATTGGTCGTCGAGATGTGAAGGACTTTGTCCTGCTACAGATCTTCTATCAGCTGAGCATGATTTGGTGTCCAAACAGTGTTCTTAGCGTTCCTAGGTATTTATTCAAGTATGTTGATAGCATCGAACATGCCAATAACACTGCTTGGGGGACTTATATAATCAGTGAGATATTTGATGCGATAGAAAAGGCACTGAAGGGTCCCGGGTCAGAGAAGACGATTGTATATCTGCAAGGGTTTACCCAGCTTGTTTGTGTAAGTAATCTTACCTTTTTTTATTACTGATTATGAAGATTAGGGTTTAGTTATTAAGGTTACGAGTTGATTGTTAATGTTACGGTTTGGTTGTTAATGTTACATGTTGATTGTTAATGTTACAGATTAGTTGTTAAGGTTACAGATTTATTGTTAATGTTACAAATTTATTGTTATGATTGCTTATTTGTTGTTAAAGTTAAGGGGTGTTTGTTAAGATTCTATTTCTCTCATGTGCAGCTGTGGTACTATGAACTTACTAGCATCAATAAGCCAGTAGTTGGAAGTACGTTGCGGCCTCCCCTCACAAATTGGGTAAAACTGGAAGATGTTGCTGGATCTTTGAGATTGGCCATTGTTGTAACTAAAGTAAAGAAAGCTACGATAAAGCTTCCACAGTTCTATGGTCAAGCTCAAAGTATTAAGGGAGGTTTGCGGGGGGAAGGAGCAGGGGAAGGAGAAAGAGAAGAAGAGAGCGAGAGTGAGCGAGAAGAATAAGGAACCGACTACAGGAGATGCTGGTAGGGCACGTGGCCCAAGACAGCCTCTTCTCAAAAAGAAAAGGGGAGCAGAAGATGATATCCCACTTGAAGGATGGGTAAGCATTTAGCAATTACGAATTTTATTACTTTTTAATTAATCTTTTTTAATAATAGGGGGGGGTGATTAGTGTCTTATGCTAATCTAATTCGATTTTATACCAAATTAAAAACTTTATTGATTATTTAAATCTTGCAAGATATATATAAGCCAGAATGTAAAATACAAGCACAAGATAAAAGTACACAAGGCAAACTCAAACACAAGATATGATCACGGAGTTCGGTCCCCACGACCTACGTCTCCGTTTCTCACCTTGAGGAGATCTCTATTATCACAACACACCCGGTTTGGAAGCCGGAACTTCTCTACACACTCGATTATCAAGTCAACCGACAACTCTCATAAAATCTCACATTGTACATACACAAGCCACAACCTCAAGTGTTGGTCCTCACGTATCGACTCCCTCAAGTGCTTAGAATTATCACCTCTCACTAGGCCACCGACGTCACTCCTCTTGGTATCGACTCCGTCCTCACCACACACTCCTCTCGGTGTACAAGTGTATTACAAGTGATCTCACGATAAGCACAATATAATAACGGTTGTTCTCTATACTTGACGAGAACTCAATTAAGCTCACTCTCACTAAATCACACACCACTACCCAACAATATATTATATGAGATATAACAAGCTCAATAAGGGTGCGTGATAAATGAGTTTAAATAAATTCTAACTCAATAAGAACTAGCAATAAAATTAATAAGAAATAAATGCTAGAAAGTTGAGTTAGGAAAACTTCTCTACAAAGAGAGGATGATTTGGATATTAAGGATGAACTCCTCAACAAATGATGCAAGATTCTCTTTGTACAACAAACTCTTTTTCAAACCAAACTTGAAACAAGGCTTAAACACCTCTTAAACACAAACTAAACTCTTTTAAAACTTGATTAAGAAATCTTCTTGGTTAAGAGAAGAATTCAGAGCATATGGGTATATATAGCATCTCAATACATCAGCTAAAACCCAAAGAAAAAGACCAAAAAACCACAAACACACAAAACAGAAAACTAGCCGTTACTGTGCAACGACTCTCTGATAAGTCGACTTATGAAACCACAAACACACAAAACAGAAAACTAGCCGTTACTGTGCAACGACTCTCTGATAAGTCGACTTATGGGTCGACTTATGAGTCGACTAATGAGTCGGCTTATATGATTCGACTCAGCAGACGAAAAATTATAACTCCGCTGCACTTCGTGAGTCGACTTATGAGTCGGCTTATGAGTCGACTAAACATGCACAGACCAGATTTGCACAGGAAAACTGAACTTTAAACCATGTTTAAAAATATCAAATAAATTCTAAAAATTATAAAATTTGGTGAATAGTTTATAAACATATAAATGAGCATGTTTTAAAAGAAATTTTCCAAATGTGATTATCCGTTTGTAAAATCTATTAGTTATGCAAAAGCATGTAAAACGAGTGTATAATATTCTTAGTTTTGACAAATGAGATAAACAAGGATATGAAACCTTTTCAAATGAATTTATAGACTAAACAATAGTTGTATAAAGTAAATTTTAAGTCTATACACTAATATCTCATTATATTGTCAAAATCACATTGAAACCAAAAGTGTGTGTTATGTGGATATTGAGCTTGAGATATATTCACACAATATAAAGTCCTATTCTAGTTGTACCAAGTTGATATGCATGAGAAGCTAAATCTTGGATCTGACTTGAATTGAATAAGCTTCGTTATAAATGTGTCTCTTGAGTTACTCAACCTGGGACAAAACAAATACTGAAAAATATATTATTAATTGTTTACAAAATCATCAAAACAAGATTCAAAAGTAGGCTCATATACATGAGTCCTAACAGATGAAGCGGTCGAGCAGCCCAATGAGGCAGTTGAGAAAATGGAATTGTCTCCGTAAGTGATCTATTGGAAGAGCATCATGATAATGAATTAAAAATTACATCGCTATAATGAGAATAAATTTAAAGATCAGATTGCTGCCGACTGAATAAAGATCACTTCTCTTTCTGTGAAAGTGAC